GGCTCTGCCCTCCTCGGCCCTGCCCGGCACTGACCTGCGCCGCGCTGCCCTCCTTTGCCCTGCCCACCTCTGCCTTACCCTGCTCTTCCCTGCTCTTCTCTCCCTTCCCCTCCTACTCCCTTCCCCTCCCCTCCCCTCCTGTTCCCCCTCTCCCCTGCCCTGCCTGCAGCCGCGGGATGCAGCTGCTGCCCGCTGATACCCTGAGAAATATTTCCATTCTCGTTAAATACTCCACGTGTGAATAAAAGGTAGCGGGGACTGGCTGGGGGAAAACGCAGCAGGAGTTCAGGGTTGCTGCAATGCCTGGGTCTGAGAAAGCCAGAGCTGTGCTCATGCCATTAAAGATGTTCAGCCTCCCCTGAGGTGCTCTGCATAGCTTGCTAACTCTTGTAATGCCTCTCAGGCATTTCATCATCCCAACTTCATACCAGTAAAACCCACCTACCATGCCACATTATAAAGATTATGTGGAGAGTTCTGCTTTTTAAAAAAGTTATTGGAAATAGCTTAAGGTGTGCCTCTCCTGTGCTGTTAGCCTCAGCTGCTTACTGTCAAGTTTGCTCTTTCTGAGTTAGCATACTGAGAGGGGCACACTGTAATATAACTCTGGAGCAGACCAGGAAGATCAGGCCCAGTGACAGAGGAGCAGCACACTGACACAATAGAGTCAGCAATCAAGTCTTAATCCGGTCCCTGGGACAAGACACTCAGGTCAAGTGCAGGTGACTTTTTAGTTTGAGCCAGGGCTAAATGTCACGTATACAAGGAGGCAGTATTGCAGTGTAACAGCACACTGTTGACTGAAACTATCAGTGTCTTGAATGTGGTGAATTCACGATGCTACAACACCATAACCAGCCAACAAGCCCAGTGGCAGTAGTCAGCTCGGATGCCATAGTGCCATGAAGCTGGTATAGGCTCCATCAAGGATAACTTGTGTATATCAAGCACATATCTCACTAGAGCCACCTATAGCAATAAGTCTAAACTTTCTCAAAAATGAAACTATTATCACTTTGGTAGCTCAGACCATTTCTGTGCTAAGAAGCATGGTTGAAAATCTGAGAATCTTCAACTTTTACTAAAATTAAGTTCTCATTTTCTGTCTGTGGTTGGATTCACATTTATGCAATTAGCAATCTTGATTTCCGACTGGGATGGAGTGTAGTCATGAGTTCAACATCACCAACCAGCTAAGCTGTAAATTAGCTAACCTGGTGTCTACAAAGGCAGAAGCCAGGGAGGACTGCAGCAGCAAAATCTGTCAGTGATAGCCAGAGTGTAACAGAAATGCTTTGCACTCCAATCATTCCTAGCTGAAACAGTAGTCCAATTAAAGGTCTTGCCAGTTAACTGCTAAGTAAAGGCATTCTTAATTACATAAGGTGCTGGACCAGAATCCAGACCTGCCTGTTTGGCAAAGACAGCTCTACCCTTCTGTACTGTCTCTATTTCTCCACCGGCAGCAAGTCTGGCCTGTAAAGCACAAACACAACTAGATTCCTAAATCCTGGCTCCTATTGCCACTTGGTTGTGGCATGCTAAATAATAGTTTTCATCTTTTATAGATTAAGTGACCATAAATCAGCCAGGAACATGCACAGAAGTATAGAATCATACAATCATTTAGGCTGGAAAAGACCTTTAAGATAATAAAGTCTAACTGTTAACCTAACACTGCCAAGTCCACCACTAAACCATGTCCCTAAGTGCCACATCTACATGTCTTTCAAACACCTCCGGGGATTGTGACTCCACCACTTCCCTGGGCAGCCTGTTCCAATGCTTGACAACCCTTTCAGTGAATAAATTTTTCCTAATATCCAATATAATCCTCCTTGAGGCCATTTCCTCTCATCCTATTGCTTGTTACTAGGGAAAAGAGACCAACCTTGCTACAACTTCCTTTCAGGTAGATATAGTGAGCAATAAGGTCTCCTCTCAGCCTCCTCTTCTCCAGACTAAACAACCCCAGCTCCCTCAGCCGCTCCTCGTCAGACCTGTGCTCCAGACCCTTCCCCAGCTTCGTTGCCCTTCTCTGGACCTGCTCCAGCACCTCAATGTCCTTCTTGTGGTGAGGGGCCCAAAACTGACCCCAGGATTCAAGGTGCAGCCTCACCAGTGCCGAGTCCAGGGGCACAATCCCTGCCCTAGTCCTGCTGGCCACACTATTGCTGATGCAGGCCAGGATGCTGTTGGCCTTCTTGGCCACCTGGGCACACTGCTGGCTCATGTTCAGCCGGCTGTCGCCCAGCACCCCCAGGTCCCTCTCTGCTGGGCAGCTTTCCAGCCACTCTCCCCCGAGCCTGTAGCGTTGCAGGGGGTTGTTGTGACCAAAGTGCAGGACCCGGCACTTGGCTTTATTGAACCTCATACAACTGGCCTCAGCCCATCAGTCCAGCCTGTCCAGATCCCTCTGTAGAGCCTTTCTACCCTTGAGCAGATCAAGATTCCTGTCAACTTGGTGTCGTCTTCAAACTTACTTAGGGTGCACTTGATCTTCTCATCCAGATCATTGATAAAGACATTAAACAGAACTGGCCTCAGTACTGAGCCCTGGGAAACACCACTTATCACCAGCTGCCAACTTGTTTAACTCCATTCACCACAACCCTTTGGGCCTGGCCTTCCAGTCAGTTTTTGGCCAGCAAAGAGTACATCCATCCAAGCCATGAGCAGCCAGTTTCTCCAGGAGAATGCTGTAGGAAACTGTCACGGGCTTTACTAAAGTCCGGGTAGACAGCATCCACAGCCTTTCCCTCAACCATTAATCAGGTCACCTGGTCATAGAAGGAGATCAGGTTGGTCAAGCATGACCTTCCTTTCATAAACCCATGCTGACTGGGCCTGATCACCTGGTTGTCCTGTACGTGCTGTGTGATGGCACTCAAGTTGATCTGCTCCATAACCTTCCCCGGTACCAAGGTCAGACTGACAGGCCTGTAATCCCCTGGATCCTCCTTCTGGCCCTTCTTGTAGATGGGTGTCACATTTGCTAACCTCCAGTCAACAGGGACCTCCTCAGTTAGCCAGGACTGCTGATAAATGATGGAATGTGGTTTGGTGAGCACTTTGCCAGTTCTCTCAGTGCCCTTGCACGGATCCCATCCAGCTTTATGGACTCATATGTGTCTAAGTGGTGTAACAGGTTGTTAACCATATTCCCTTGGATTATGGTAGGTTCATTCTGCTCCCCATCCCTGTCTCTCAACTCGGGGGGCTGGATACCCAGAGAACAACTGTACTAGTTATCCAAAAACAAACAAAAAAACCCTTACCATACAATCAATCAACTTTTATCCTACATTTTCTCTGCAATCCTTACATGATCAGAAAGATCCCCTTGTGTCAATGTTGTGAGAAAACTTTCCTCACTCTCCTTCTGCTCCTTCTGTTATCTTTTCTTTGCCTCCCTATCTCTTTTCAAGTCATCAACTTTTGGCTTCACTTTTAGAGGTGAATCCCTTCCTACCAGCAAATCTTGAGGCACCCTGAGCAATACCATTGGTAGAAGAAAGTGGAGGTCCCTGAAATTGCTGTTACAGAATCAATCTGGTCTGGTGGTGACAACAACAAAAAAAAAAAAGTTGAACTCCTCTTTCCCCTTCCCAAAGCTTTGCAAGTGAGGTGATCTAGCCAGGGAGAGGCTCTATCCCTTAAATGATAATATTGCAAAATATGTATATTTTAAAGTCAAACAACAAAAGGCATTACCTGGTTGGGATCCTGAAGTCTACATTGGGTCCCAATTTATAAGCCACTTGTAGAGAAGTGGAGCCCACTACTCTCTGGATAATTCCTTGGGAAGCAGCTTTTTCTATTTGGAACTGAGAAATCAGGTCAAAGCCTACAAGAAAAAATACACATGTCCAGAATGTAACTTTCATTTTAATTTAATTAGAGAATTGTGTAGTCACAGAGCTGAATATAACTCGATAAAATTTCTGAACACCAGCATTTTCCTGAAAAAGTCAGGATGCTACTTGCCTGGTAAGTCATCTTGGCCAATCCTGATTGTTGGGCAGAGATCAATTCTCTGGCTGGCACCCAGAATGACTGGTAGTCCTGCAAAAAAGGGTGAATTTATTAACCATATACCTGCACATTGCCTCAGATCACCTCAAAAAATTAAGTGAAGCAACTGTAAGAATACTATGGATTAAACAGAGCTATAAATCGTAACAATTAGATGTATATAATAATCCATTTGAACTATTCTCAGTGAAGTCAGAGGTCTAAGAAAATAAGCGTCTGTTTCTAGAGAGCTCTAAATTTAAAATTATAACTTGACTAATTATTTAATTTTTTTTCCAAGCCTTTAAATGAGAGTGTTATAGCAATTCTTCTCTTGGAGAGCTATGGAGAAATAGTTGTAGCATAAGAAGGCCCGCTGTGTAAGGAGTTTTTGGGTTGGAATTTTTGTTGGTTTAAGCAAACTTTGGAAAAAACGCCAGTTACCTAAGTCAATAGTCTCCCTAGTACTGAGGAAACTTAAACAAACCTCATGCCAATTAAAGAGGCTGTTGAGAAACTGTTGGGATCTTTTCCATCCTCTCTGGTATTCTAGCTGTTTCCACCTTCCTCTGTGCCATGTTTGGTCAGAGAATGACCATTCATTATTTGATCAGAGAATAATCATTCATGAAATATGGGATGGGGGCAAGAACTTACAGGTGTTTTTTGTTGACCCAAGGAAAAATGTAGAAGAAATTTGTTTGAGGAAACCAAATTTAAAAATCTAATTTTTCAGAATATTATTCATCAAAAACCTTTGTAATGAGCATGAAAACCTACTAGATTCCCCTAATTTAAAGAAGGAGGAAGGAAAAATCAACATTTATTTAAAGAGTTTAAGAGTCATGTACAAGTCCAGTATCAGGTCGATCTGGAAAATGTTAGTAGAGTCTGAATGGGGAAGAATGAAGCATGCAAGTTGGAAGCAGATTCATTTCTAACCTACAGAGAGGCTCTTGTGTGCTGCAAAGGCTCAACCATAAATGTGGGTTTCCTTCTGACAACATAGACTTAAAGGGAACATTCAGGTTGACACATTACACCTTAGAATGGCCTCATTCTATATTATTTGATGAGACATATGGCTGACATCCAGCCATTTACATTTTATGCCCAGCAAATAAAATAGAACCAGTTTGTTGCCACACATAGCAGGAGAATATCTAAATGGATGCACTGAAAAATGTGGGGAGGTTTGTGTCCTGTATCTACCACCTATATCCAGATTTTAATCCTTACCTTAAAAATACATCTAATAGTGAGTTTAAAATACCACACGCATCTCTTGCTTTTTCCCCTTTTCTCATATGCATACATCCATACATCCATACATACACATAGACAGTTCTCCCCTTCTGTGATAGAGAGCTAGAGAGAATTTTAATTTTGAATAATCTCAGAAAAATTCTTCCGACAGTCAAAATTACAGAAAGATGAAATGCAGACAAAGTCTGTCTCCTTACTTGATTGTTGCTGAATGGTGGCTGAGATGAAAGACCACAGAAAACTACACACGTAAACAAAAACTGTAATTTTCCTGTAAACAGAAAAAGAACTTCAGTATGAATCTATAGTTTCTGACAGATTCTGTTATTGACTTTCTCCTCAGAGCTGTGCATATGAAATGTATAAAAAACCAAGTTAAGGATTTACTAACAGATTGACAAGACAATTTCTTTACATGCAAACTTTTTATCTTTGCCTTATAATAAAAAATGTCAATGAAGCTCTTTCTGTTACCATTTCCTTCGTATAATGCTGTCATAAAATCAAACAACAAAGGTGGCAGCTGGCAAGGGCAGCTTAAACTGTTCTAATCTCTTATTTACAGATTTCTCTAAATCCCACTTGTTCTCTTACCAGTTGCTTTTCATCTTCACTGATGGCTTTCTTCACTTCTCTCATGTGAATGCGTGGTGCCTGCAGTCACACTCTCTGCATCCCTCTCATGAGTCCTGCAGAAGGGAGCGGCAATGGGCGCAGACAGCTCCTCCTGCCCCAGCAGGACCCGGCAAGGAGGGAGGTGCAGGCTGCTGGGTCTGGCTTAATCTTGCAAAGGGAAGGAGGTGGAGGCAGGACAGACATGTGTGTCCTGGTGGGCTCTGAGGGCGGATCTCTGGAGCTGGTTGGATATAAAGAAGCCAAGAGAGCGAAGAAAAGGCTGCTGCTTGTGCCAGCATCAGGCAGGGGGATTAAGCAAATGTGAGTTCAGTGATGCCACTCATTGAATGATGGGGCCTGCTGTTCAGCCAGGCAGATGGAAGAATAATATGTACCAGGGGAGGCTGAGGAAGCTGGTGGCCCTGACATGGTGTTAAGACTAAAACAAGAGAACCCCGGTCCTATAAAGAAGGCATTTCCATTTCTCACTGATTTACTCATCAGGTGGTCTCAGGAGAAGCCTAGTTGCTGATGTCTCAGTGGGTTCTCCTGAATAAAAGCAATTATTTAAAAGGGTTTTAATTGCTTAAACTTGAACCTTTTCACAGAATACACATAAGCATTACTAAGCAGACTCCTGTTCTTCAGTTGTCATTGACAAAGCACTCACTTACCATAGACTATTACATGTTTGGACACACAAAGACATTTATTCGTATTTGTTCATACGGGTGTAAAAAGAGAGAGAGAGAGACACACTAAAATCTGTATGCAAGGAAAACCTCTGTGATGGGTTAGCCCTTGGCTGGGGGCCAAACCACACACACCCGCTCACACAGTTCCCGCCCCCACCTAAGGATAGGGGAGAGAGTTAAAGGGGTAGTGTGTAAAGGTTCTGACTGGGCAGGACCAGCCCGATTGGCAGATCCTCTAGTGTTGACTAGCCAAGTGGCTTTTGCTAAATGTGTATCCCAGTTTTTGGGGTAAAGGGAAAAAAGGACTTGTGGGTTGAGATAAGGACAATTTAACAACTAAACTACAATAATATTGAAAATAATACTATATACAAATATACAAATGAGTGATACACAGTGATACTGCCCCCCACCTGATGACCAAAGGCTCAGCCTGTTCCCGGCTAACGATCCCGGAGAAGGGAGAGTCTGAGGGATACACAGTGATACTT